GAGCCTGACCACCCGATGTCGCTATTCTCCTCTCCAGCCTTTGGTGTTTACATTTCACAACTTTTGAGGTTCAATCGAGCTTGATCTTTTTATCAGGATTTCAAAGAGCGACATACCACTCTTGCCCAGAAGTTGTTTGATCAAGGATACAACATTCAAGGCCTCAGTAGAGCTTTCAAGAAATTATATGGTAGATATGGTGAGGACATTTTCAAATTTGATGCATAAGTGACAAAAATCATGTCCGATGCAATTCTCCATTTACACATATACGATGTCCTCCCGAATTATTTCAGGTGAACAACTGACTACACTTAGCATATGTTTATGACGGATGCCACCAGTGGGGCAGGATACGCTCAACGCTATGTCATAGTGATTCATAAACACATGCTCTGTCATCCTATCGCATGGCGACAATCACTGGATTGTCTGGTTCTGACGCGATTTGTATAACAACATCATACAGCTGTAATGCTGCTGAAACATACATATGCTCATGATATAGTCACCATTGTACAACCGAGATATCTTATGAAAGTGGAAAGGGTTTTGTCGCTTCTATTTATGACATGCATGCATTGCTAAGCCCAACACTAACTCGGATGTTCACAAGCTTTATTCAATTAAGCCCCTGCACAAACACATATACACACAGAACAATATACTGCCATGGATACTATAAATTATATAAGCTGCCATAGCAGTGGGTGAACACAGTAAACATACCACAAGCAGAAACTCCACTCCAACAGCCAGTATTTGGCGTGCACTACTACAGTACAGACATCGCTTATCATTGCCCCAACAATCAATCTCCAGCTCTGTTGATGGCTTCACGAATGTTTCTAGTCCATGCAAGTGTGAAATGCTGCACACAGCCAGGCATACAATATGAAGACATATACTCACACAGGCATCCGTGTCGATACCACCATCTCCTCACGTTTGCATAAAGAATAGAGGTTTATTAAGTCAGTCCAGTATTCAAAGGCTATTTGCTGCTGAATGTACAAATACACTTGTTTTACATTTTTTTACATTTCCATCGTATTAAAAGTGTTAATAAAATCTATGATGATGACTATCACCATGTCACAAATATATATTGAGCGAGTGTCGTGTATAGCAATATTCCAGCAATATCACGGCAGGGGACACCAGAAATGGGCTTAACACATTGAACCCATGTTAGGAATAGAACCCAGATGTATAGCGTGACGACGGAACGATTTTAACCATTTTCTACCCTGCCGCCCCCATTTATTTAAAGGTCACATGAAAAGTAAAACACAACTTTGCAGATTCTGACTTATAAAGTTGAAAAATAACGCGATGAAAAAAACACACGCGAAATCGGAGTTCAAACGATTCACTAATTTTCCCCCAGCGCTTGGGGGAATTCAAGTGGTTTCAAAAGGTGGGCTGCTCTCTTAGCACGTGCGCACTGAAATAGGTTCGCGCAGCTTGGAAGCGGGTTGTCCGGTGTATACTCGGTGAAGGCTTAGGTGTGAGCTATTTTTCTAATGTTTTGTTGATATTTCACAGTCGCGAGCTTTTTATATGTTATGACAGTACTGTTTATATAATTTCATTTGTCTATTTCACCACACGTTCTTACTGAGTCACCTTCTCAGTTCGATACTTAAAAGCAATGTCATTATTTAGCGTTGACAGAATTTCTAACTGTGATATAGAAATGTCGTTGTCACAGACAAAACTCAATGTCTGTTTTATTGACACATATGTGTCTGCCTGCCTGTCTGCTAATGACCATATTCAGTACACAACTTCGATCACTGACCACATGCAATTTGAACTTAACACCTATCAGGCTATGCACCATAAACAAAACGCATTGATTTATGGCCTGAATTCGGTCTCTGTCACATTATGTAATTACACAGACAGGCAGGTGTGATACTTGTACACATGACATGTTATGATGTCCGTTGATTGCAAAATGTTATACACAAAAAATGAGCATGTATTTACAAAACCCACTATCTCTATATATACACACACAATGAGCCTTGTGGGCATCTGCAAATGAACCAGCCGTTACACTTGAGTGCACACCCACCCGCTCTGACTGGGTTCGGTATCCCGGCTTCTTCGTTTCTTGGGAAGTAAACCCAAGTACACAATATTGCACTTTTGATTTGCGATTGTGTGCTTATAATTTTGTTTATATGTTTTTTCATAACCAGCAATGTATATTATATGTCATGAATAAGTGATAATTTTGTTTTAATTATGTTTGATGTTTTGGTTGCATGCGACCTTTAAAGAAAACCCTTGTTAAGCAAGTAGACGTAACTTCAATTGTCGAATACCTTAAGTGACTGTTGTCAATATACACCTCTCTGAGAGTAATCCGATGACTGGTGATATCCCTTCCTCACTAGGAAATCCTCTTAGTCGACTGTGATGCAACATCACTGGTGTACTCCCAATGCTGTCTCTGCTATCTATGTCAGCTATTCCACGCGAGTAAAGATCCTTAACAATATCTACATTGTCACTCAAACATCCTTAATGTAGAATGTTTCTATCTACATCATCCACTACCGACAAGTTGCATCCTTTGTTCACCAGTAGATCAACAACTTTCTTATTGACCTTCTTTGCTGCATACATCACTGGTGTTCTCCCCACCCTGTCTCTGCTCTCTATGTCAGCTATCCCACGCGATAGAACATCCTCAACAATGTCTTCATTGTCACTCAAACATGCAACATGTAGAATGTTTCCACCTAGATCATCAACTACCGACAAGTTGCATCCTTCCCTCACCAAAAGATCAAAAACTGTTCTATTGCCCTCCTCTGCTGCATACATCATCGGTGTCCTTCCTTGATCATCTCTGCTCTCTACGTCAGCTATCCCACGCGAGACAAGATCCCTAACAATGTCTTCATTGTCACGTAAACAGGCAACATGTAGAATGTTTCCACCTAGATCATCCACTATCGACTGGTTGCATCCTTTGTTCACCAGTAGATCAACAACTTTCTTATTGCCCTTCTTTGCTGCATACATCACTGGTTTTCTCCCCGTCTTGTCTGCGCTCTCTATGCCAGCTATCCCACGCGAGAGAAGATCCCTAACAATGTCTTCATTGCCACGTAAACATGCAGCATGTAGAATGTTTCCACCTAGATTATTCACTACCGACAAGTTGCATCCTTTGCTCACCAGTAGATCAACAACTTTCTTATTGCCGTGCTCTGCTGCATACATCACTGGTGTCCTTCCTCGATCATCTCTGCTATCTATGTCAGCTATCCCACGCGAGAGAAGATCCTTAACAATGTCTTCATTGTCACCTGAACATGCAAAATGTAGAATGTTTCTATCTACATCATCCATTACCGACAAGTTGCATCCTTTGCTCACCAATAGATCAACAACTTTCTTATTGCCTTTCCATGCTGCATACATTACTGGCGTGCTTCCAACCAAGTCTCTGCTATCTATGCCAGCTTTCCCACGCGAGAGAAGATCCTTAACAATGTCTTCATTGTCACCTAAACATGCAGCATGTAGAATGTTTCCACCTAGATTATCCACTTCCGACAAGTTGCATCCTTTTCTCACCAGTAGATCAACAACTTTCTTATTGCCCTTCTCTGTTGCATACATCATCGGTGTCCTTCCTTGATCATCTCTGCTATCTATGTCAGATATCCCACGCGAGAGAAGATCCTTAACAATGTCTTCATTGTCACGTAAACATGCAAAATGTAGAATGTTTCCACCTAGATTATCCACTACCGACAAGTTGCATACCTTGCTCACCAGTAGATCAACAACTTTCTTATAGCCCTTCTCTGCTGCATACATCGCTGGTGTCCTTCCTTGATTATCTCTGCTATCTATGTCAGCTATCCCACGCGAGAGAACATCCTCAACAATGTCTTCATTGTCACCTAAACATGCAGCATGTAGAATGTTTCCACCTAGATTATTCACTACCGACAAGTTGCATCCTTTGCACACCAGTAGATCAACAACTTTCTTATTGCCCTTCTCTTTTTGCATACATCACTGGTGTCCTTCATTGATCATCTCTGCTATCTATGTCAGATATCCCACGCGAGACAAGATCCTCAACAATGTCTTCATTGTCACCTAAACATGCAGCATGTAGAATGTTTCTACCTAGATTATTCACTACCGACAAGTTGCATCCTTTGCTCACCAGTAGATCAACAACTTTCTTATTGCCCTTCTCTGCTGCATACATCACTGGTGTCCTTCCTTGATCATCTCTCCTATCTATGTCGGCTATCCCACGCGAGAGAACATCCTTAACAATGTCTTCATTGTCACGTAAACATGCAGCATGTAGAATGTTTCCACCTAGATTATCCACTATCTACAAGTTGCATCCTTTGTTCACCAGTAGATCAACAACTTTCTTATTGCCCTTCTGTGCTACATATATCACTGGTTTTCTCCCCGTCTTGTCTGCGCTCTCTATATCAGCTATCCCACGCGAGAGAAGATCCCTAACAATGTCTTCATTGCCACGTAAACATGCAACATGTAGAATGTTTCTATCTACATCATCCACTACAAGTTACATCCTTTGTTCACCAGTAGATCAACAACTTTCTTGTTGCCCTTCTCTGCTGCATACATCACTGGTGTCCTTCCTTGATCATCTCTGCTATCTATGCCAGCTATCCCACGCGAGAGAAGATCCTCAACAATGTCTTCATTGTCACGTAAACATGCAACATGTAAAATGTTTCTACCTACATCATCCATTACCGACAAGTTGCATCCTTTGCTCACCAATAGATCAACAACTTTCTTATTGCCTTTCCCTGCTGCATGCATTACTGGCGTGCTCCCAACCCTGTCTCTGCTATCTATGCCAGCTATCCCACGCGAGAGATGATCCTCAACAAAGTCTTCATTGCCACCTAAACATGCAACATGTAGAACGTTTCTACCGGGATCATCCACTACCGACAAGTTACATCCTTTGTTCACCAATACATCAACAACTTTCTTATTGCCCTTCTCTGTTGCATACATCATCGGTGTCCTTCCTTGATCATCTCGGCTATCTATGCCAGCTATCCCACGCGAGAGAAGATCCTTAACAATGTCTTCATTGTCACCTAAACATGCAAAATGTAGAATGTTTCCACCTAGATTATCCACTACCGACAAGTTGCATCCTTTGTTCACAAGTAGATCAACAACTTTCTTATTACCAATCTCTGCTGCATACATCGCTGGTGGCCTTCCTCGATCATCTCTGCTATCTATGTCAGCTATCCCACGCGAGAGAAGATCCTTAACAATGTCTTCATTGTCACCTGAACATGCAAAATGTAGAATGTTTCTACCTACATCATCCATTACCGACAAGTTGCATCCTTTGCTCACCAATATATCAACAACTTTCTTATTGCCTTTCCATGCTGCATACATTACTGGCGTGCTTCCCACCCAGTCTCTGATATCTATGCCAGCTATCCCACGCGAGAGAAGATCCTTAACAATGTCTTCATTGTCACCTAAACATGCAGCATGTAGAATGTTTCCACCTAGATTATCCACTACCGGCAAGTTGCATCCTTTGCTCACCAGTAGATCAACAACTTTCTTATTGCCCTTCTCTGTTGCATACATCATCGGTGTCCTTCCTTGATCATCTCTGCTATCTATGTCAGCTATCCCACGCGAGAGAAGATCCTTAACAATGTCTTCATTGTCACGTAAACATGCAAAATGTAGAATGTTTCCACCTAGATAATCCACTACCGACAAGTTGCATCCTTTGCTCACCAGTAGATCAACAACTTTCTTATAGCCCTTCTCTGCTGCATACATCGCTGGTGTCCTTCCTTGATTATCTCTGCTATCTATGTCAGCTATCCCACGCGAGACAAGATCCTTAACAATGTCTTCATTGTCACCAAAACATGCAGCATGTAGAATGTTTCTACCTTGATCATCCACTACCGACGAGTTTCATCCTTTGCTCACCAGTATATCAACAACTTTCTTATTGCCTTTCCCTGCTGCATACAACACTGGAGTCCTTCCTTGATCATCTCTGCTATCTATGTCAGCTATCCCACGCGAGAGAAGATCCTTAACAATGTCTTCATTGTCACGTAAACAGACAACATGTAAAATGTTTCTACCTACATCATCCATTACCGACAAGTTGCATCCTTTGCTCACCAATAGATCAACAACTTTCTTATTGCCTTTCCCTGCTGCATGCATTACTGCCATGCTCCCAACCCTGTCTCTGCTATCTATGCCAGCTATCCCACGCGAGAGAAGATCCTCAACAAAGTCTTCATTGCCACCTAAACATGCAACATGTAGAACGTTTCTACCGGGATCATCCACTACCGACAAGTTGCATCCTTTGTTCACCAATAGATCAACAACTTTCTTATTGCCATTCTCTGTTGCATACATCATCGGTGTCCTTCCTTGATCATCTCTGCTATCTATGTCAGCTATCCCACGCGAGAGAAGATCCTTAACAATGTCTTCATTGTCACGTAAACATGCAACATGTAGAATGTTCCCACCAAGATTATCCACTATCGACAAGTTGCATCCTTTGCTCACCAGTAGATCAACAACTTTCTTATTGCCCTTCTCTGCTGCATACATCGCTGGTGTCCTTCCTCGATCATCTCTGCTATCTATGCCAGCTATCCCACGCGAGAGAAGATCCTCAACAATGTCTTCATTGTCACCTAAACATGCAGCATGGAGAATGTTTCCACCTAGATCATCCACTACCGACAAGTTGCATCCTTTGCTCACCAGTAGATCAACAACTTTCTTATTGCCCTTCTCTGCTGCATACATCACTGGTGTCCTTTCTCGAGCATCTCTGCTATCTATGTCAGCTATCTCACGCGAGAGAAGATCCTCAACAAAGTCTTCATTGCCACCTAAACATGCAACATGTAGAACGTTTCTACCGGGATCATCCACTACCGACAAGTTGCATCCTTTGCTCACCAGTAGATCAACAACTTTCTTATTGCCCTTCTCTGCTGCATACATCACTGGTGTCCTTCCTCCATCATCTCTGCTATCTATGTCAGCTATCTCACGCGAGAGAACATCCTCAACAATGTCTTCATTGTCACGTAAACATGCAACATGTAGAATGTTTCTACCTAGATCATCCACTACCGACAAGTTGCATCCTTTGTTCACCAGTAGATCAACAACTTTCTTATTGCCCTTCTGTGCTACATATATCACTGGTTTTCTCCCCGTCTTGTCTGCGCTCTCTATATCAGCTATCCCACGCGAGAGAAGATCCCTAACAATGTCTTCATTGCCACGTAAACATGCAACATGTAGAATGTTTCTATCTACATCATCCACTACAAGTTACATCCTTTGTTCACCAGTAGATCAACAACTTTCTTGTTGCCCTTCTCTGCTGCATACATCACTGGTGTCCTTCCTCGATCATCTCTGCTATCTATGCCAGCTATCCCACGCGAGAGAAGATCCTCAACAAAGTCTTCATTGCCACCTAAACATGCAACATGTAGAACGTTTCTACCGGGATCATCCACTACCGACAAGTTGCATCCTTTGTTCACCAATAGATCAACAACTTTCTTATTGCCATTCTCTGTTGCATACATCACTGGTGTCCTTCCTTGATCTTCTCTGCTATCTATGTCAGCTATCCCACGCGAGAGAACATCCTTAACAATGTCTTCATTGTCACCTAAACATGCAACATGTAGAATGTTCCCACCAAGATTATCCACTATCGACAAGTTGCATCCTTTGCTCACCAGTAGATCAACAACTTTCTTATTGCCCTTCTTTGCTGCATACATCGCTGGTGTCCTTCCTCGATCATTTCTGCTATCTATGCCAGCTATCCCACGCGAGAGAAGATCCTTAACAATGTCTTCATTGTCACCTAAACATGCAGCATGTAGAATGTTTCCACCTAGATTATCCACTATCTACAAGTTGCATCCTTTGCTCACCAGTAGATCAACAACTTTCTTATTGCCCTTCTTTGCTGCATACATCACTGGTGTCCTTCCTTGATCATCTCTGCTATCTATGTCAGCTATCCCACGCGAGAGAACATCCTTAACAATGTCTTCATTGTCACCTAAACATGCAACATGTAGAATGTTCCCACCAAGATTATCCACTATCGACAAGTTGCATCCTTTGCTCACCAGTAGATCAACAACTTTCTTATTGCCCTTCTTTGCTGCATACATCGCTGGTGTCCTTCCTCGATCATCTCTGCTATCTATGTCAGCTATCCCACGCGAGAGAAGATCCTCAACAAAGTCTTCATTGCCACCTAAACATGCAACATGTAGAACGTTTCTACCGGGATCATCCACTACCGACAAGTTGCATCCTTTGCTCACCAGTAGATCAACAACTTTCTTATAGCCCTTCGCTGCTGCATACATCGCTGGTGTCCTTCCTTGATTATCTCTGCTATCTATGTCAGCTATCCCACGCGAGAGAAGATCCTTAACAATGTCTTCATTGTCACCTAAACATGCAGCATGTAGAATGTTTCCACCTAGATTATCCACTACCGACAAGTTGCATCCTTTGCTCACCAGTAGATCAACAACTTTCTTATTGCCCTTCTTTGCTGCATACATCGCTGGCGTGCTTCCCACCCAGTCTCTGATATCTATGCCAGCTATCCCACGCGAGAGAAGATCCTTAACAATGTCTTCATTGTCACCTAAACATGCAGCATGTAGAATGTTTCTACCTTGATCATCCACTACTGACAAGTTGCATCCTTTGCTCACCAGTATATCAACAATTTTCTTATTGCCTTTCCCTGCTGCATACAACACTGGAGTCCTTCCTTGATCATCTCTGCTATCTATGTCAGCTATCCCACGCGAGAGAAGATCCTCAACAAAGTCTTCATTGCCACCTAAACATGCAACATGTAGAACGTTTCTACCGGGATCATCCACTACCGACAAGTTGCATCCTTTGTTCACCAATAGATCAACAACTTTCTTATTGCCATTCTCTGTTGCATACATCACTGGTGTCCTTCCTTGATCATCTCTGCTATCTATGTCAGCTATCCCACGCGAGAGAACATCCTTAACAATGTCTTCATTGTCACCTAAACATGCAACATGTAGAATGTTCCCACCAAGATTATCCACTATCGACAAGTTGCATCCTTTGCTCACCAGTAGATCAACAACTTTCTTATTGCCCTTCTTTGCTGCATACATCGCTGGTGTCCTTCCTCGATCATTTCTGCTATCTATGCCAGCTATCCCACGCGAGAGAAGATCCTTAACAATGTCTTCATTGTCACCTAAACATGCAGCATGTAGAATGTTTCCACCTAGATTATCCACTACCGACAAGTTGCATCCTTTGCTCACCAGTAGATCAACAACTTTCTTATAGCCCTTCGCTGCTGCATACATCGCTGGTGTCCTTCCTTGATTATCTCTGCTATCTATGTCAGCTATCCCACGCGAGAGAACATCCTCAACAATGTCTTCATTGTCACCTAAACATGCAACATGTAGAATGTTTCTACCTTGATCATCCACTACTGACAAGTTGCATCCTTTGCTCACCAGTAGATCAACAACTTTCTTATTGCCCTTCTCTGCTGCATACATCGCTGGTGTCCTTCCTTGATTATCTCTGCTATCTATGTCAGCTATCCCACGCGAGAGAACATCCTTAACAATGTCTTCATTGTCACCTAAACATGCAGCATGTAGAATGTTTCCACCTAGATTATCCACTACCGACAAGTTGCATCCTTTGCTCACCAGTAGATCAACAACTTTCTTATTGCCCTTCTTTGCTGCATACATCGCTGGCGTGCTTCCCACCCAGTCTCTGCTATCTATGTCAGCTATCCCACGCGAGAGAACATCCTCAACAATGTCTTCATTGTCACCTAAACATGCAACATGTAGAATGTTCCCACCTAGATTATCCACTACTGACAAGTTGCATCCTTTGCTCACCAGTATATCAACAATTTTCTTATTGCCTTTCCCTGCTGCATACAACACTGGAGTCCTTCCTTGATCATCTCTGCTATCTATGTCAGCTATCCCACGCGAGAGAAGATCCTTAACAATGTCTTCATTGTCACCTAAACATGCAGCATGTAGAATGTTTCCACCTAGATTATCCACTACCGACAAGTTGCATCCTTTGCTCACCAGTAGATCAACAACTTTCTTATTGCCCTTCTCTGCTGCATACATCGCTGGTGTCCTTCCTCGATTATCTCTGCTATCTATGTCAGCTATCCCACGCGAGAGAAGATCCTTAACAGTGTCTTCATTGTCACCTAAACATGCAACATGTAGAATGTTCCCACCAAGATTATCCACTACCGACAAGTTGCATCCTTTGCTCACCAGTAGATCAACAACTTTCTTATAGCCCTTCGCTGCTGCATACATCGCTGGTGTCCTTCCTTGATTATCTCTGCTATCTATGTCAGCTATCCCACGCGAGAGAAGATCCTTAACAGTGTCTTCATTGTCACCTAAACATGCAACATGTAGAATGTTCCCACCAAGATTATCCACTACCGACAAGTTGCATCCTTTGCTCACCAGTAGATCAACAACTTTCTTATTGCCCTTCTCTGCTGCATACATCACTGGTGTCCTTCCTCGATCATCTCTGCTATCTATGTCAGCTATCCCACGCGAGAGAAGATCCTTAACAATGTCTTCATTGTCACCTAAACATGCAACATGTAGAATGTTCCCACCAAGATTATCCACTACCGACAAGTTGCATCCTTTGCTCACCAGTAGATCAACAACTTTCTTATAGCCCTTCTCTGTTGCATACATCGCTGGTGTCTTTCCTCGATCATCTCTGCTATCTATGTCAGCTATCCCACGCGAGAGAAGATCCTTAACAATGTCTTCATTGTCACCTAAACATGCAGCATGTAGAATGTTTCTACCTTGATCATCCACTACCGACAAGTTGCATCCTTTGCTGACCAGTAGATCAACAATTTTCTTATTGCCTTTCCCTGTTGCATACAACACTGGCGTTCTCCCCACCCTGTCTCTGCTGTCTATGCCAGCTATCCCACGCGAGAGAAGATCCTCAACAAAGTCTTCATTGCCACCTAAACATGCAACATGTAGAATGTTCCCACCAAGATTATCCACTACCGACAAGTTGCATCCTTTGCTCACCAGTAGATCAACAACTTTCTTATTGCCCTTCTCTGCTGCATACATCACTGGTGTCCTTCCTCGATCATCTCTGCTATCTATGTCAGCTATCCCACGCGAGAGAAGATCCTTAACAATGTCTTCATTGTCACCTAAACATGCAACATGTAGAATGTTCCCACCAAGATTATCCACTACCGACAAGTTGCATCCTTTGCTCACCAGTAGATCAACAACTTTCTTATTGCCCTTCTCTGTTGCATACATCGCTGGTGTCTTTCCTCGATCATCTCTGCTATCTATGTCAGCTATCCCACGCGAGAGAAGATCCTTAACAATGTCTTCATTGTCACCTAAACATGCAGCATGTAGAATGTTTCTACCTTGATCATCCACTACCGACAAGTTGCATCCTTTGCTGACCAGTAGATCAACAATTTTCTTATTGCCTTTCCCTGCTGCATACAACACTGGCGTTCTCCCCACCCTGTCTCTGCTGTCTATGTCAGCTATTCTATGCGAGAAAACATACTCAACAATATCTACATTGTCCCTCGAACATGCGACATGCAAGATATTCTCACCGTTATCTAACGTAAGGGAGAGGTCACATTTCTGCTTGACCAAAAGGGTTAATAATTCCATATTTCCCTTGTGAGCGGCAATTAACACAGGTGTCCATCCACCCTTTGTTCTCTTATTGATATCAACGGAACTGCTTGACAAAAGTCGTTTCACTATCACCAATTTTTCGTCCAAACAAGCTTGAATAAGGATTGAATTATAGTTATAAGCGATGAGCTTCATGTTCCCATCCTGAACCTCCCATCCGAGGGTTATGTGAGGCAGCTGACCTTCAAATTTCAAGTGTTGAATTAGTTTTACATACATGTGGATCTAACGTTTCTAATAACTGCTTTCAAATGTCGGATATTTAGGAGAATCAAAATACCATTGTAGAAACAGCTTTCAAAGTTCAAAGAGTAGTAAAGGTAAGCCGTTATATATGGTCCCGGTGGTAAAATGTTTTTTTTATGTGTCGAGGATAGCCCTAAATGCTCTGCTCTGTTTATATATATAAGCTGCGACCTTTGGGCGACATTGCCATATATTACAAACGGACATTGATTTTTTATATTTCTTCAGGTATATACACTTTAAATTGATAATTAAACATTAAAAGGGGATAAAACCTTGTAGATATATACAAATAGAGAATATATTTTTGATGTCGCCGATACCGTGTGGCCCAAAGGTAAAGTGTACGGCGTACATGTATATATGCGACCTTTAGGCGACTGTCGCCCAAAGGTCGTATATATATGTCGCCCAATGGTCGCTTATGTAATATACATATATATATGTCGCCCAATGGTTGCTGTTTAATACTATATACATGTATACATTTCCATGGCTGCTTATTTGATATATATGTCGCCCTTTGGTTGTTTCTGTGTTTCAATGTCTTGCGCGCCGAGGAAATTATATTTCATATCTGTGTGCATGAAACTGACTTTCTTGTTTCCGATCTTTAACATCGCACATACAATCAATTCATAGTTTTGTGCTTAATTATCTCAAATATGATGCTGTCAAACAAATCAGGATAGTTGGAATTAATACTGAGATTATGATTACTTGTAATATTTCTAAAAATATTATGCTGTAACAGACATTTATCATTTGGCATAACTTGCAATTATTGTTTCCCACTCAAGCGACAATGTGCCCTTGCTTCATATTAATTAGTGTCCGTTGTTTACCATTCGAGGTTTGCTAAGGATTAAGTTTTAAGGATATGTTAAGATTAACCAACAACTTAATATCAAATATTCCCATACTCAAACACTGAAAACCTCTATAGGAAATAGAGTAAAATTGAGTAAAATTAATAAACTGGATTGCAAAGTCCAGATATGAAAAACGTCTTTTTAACGAGATAAAGTAACAACATCATTAACTTTCGTCATCAAATATGGATTTGTTGAAACTAATTCTAATGACTGATCACAATGAAGAGATGAGCGAAAGTTGATGAAGTCTGAATACCATCTAACCACAGCCCATTTTGAGCCAATCGGGACTATTCTCGTTCTCTTATCATACACTGAGGCATACCAGACGACTCCTTAATAAACTGGGGGCTCCGACACTTTGATTTTCCAAATGTCTGGTCTGAAAACCATTTAAACACAGCCTATTTTGAGCCAGTCGGGATTATTCCCGTATTCTTATCATACACTGAGGCATACCAGATGACTCCTGAATAAACTGCATGGGGGCTCCGACACTGATATTTGCCAAATGTCTGGTCTGAATACCATTTAAACATAGCCTATTTGGAGCTAGTCGGGACTATTCCCGTTATCTTATCATACACTGAAGCATACCAGACGACTCCTGAATAAACTGGGGTTCCGACACGGATATTTGCCTAATTTCAGGTCTAAATACCATTTAAACACAGCCCATTTTGAGCCAGTCGGGACTATTCTCGTTCTCCTATCATACACTGAGGCAGACAAGACGACTCCTGAATAAACTAGGGCTCCGACACTGATATTTGCCTGATGTCTGGTCTGAATACCATTTAAACGCAGCCCATTTTGAGCCATTCAGGACTATTCCAGTATTCTTATCATACACTGAGGCATACCAGACGACTCCTGAATAAACTAGGGCTCCGACACGGATATTTGCCTGATGTCTGGTCTGAATACCATCTAAACAGAGCCCATTGTGAGCCAGTCGGGACTATTCTCGTTCTCTTGTCGTACATTGAGGCATACCAGATGACTCCTGTATAAACTGGGGCTCCAACACGGATATTTGCCTGATGTCTGGTCTGAATACCATTTAAACGCAGCCCATTGTGAGCCATTCAGGACTATTCCAGTATTCTTATCATACACTGAGGCATACCAGACGACTCCTGAATAAACTGGGGCTCCGACACCGATATTTGCCTGATGTCTGGTTTGAATACTAAACACAGCCTATCACCGCACTAGATCCGCAAGTGCTACCACCCAAGCCCCTATTTTTTCCAAATCAGCTTCGGAGACCCCACCATGGAAAATGGAGCCACATTCCACCCCAGTGCGAACCAATGATAGGAACAAGAAAAAATTGTAAGTTTAATAATTACTATTTATTAAACCAAATAGTTTTGACATTCGTATTTGCATAACTTTGCAAAAAATTGTATGTGGCATTTACACTTCTCTGATCGAGACCTTGACTAACATTTGTCAGGTTAAATTGCTAACAATGTTGTTCTGTGATAAGGTGTTTCACCTTTAGAGGGTGGGTTCAAATCACACAAGGGATTCACTCCACCCTCTACCAGCAAAGTACTAGTATCTGTACTATACTGGGAAAGTGAATTCCCAAATGTAACATCCCTTAGAAATGATCTGAATATTTATTAAGTTAATTTCATTCTTAAAATGTGTGCCATCTCTTCCTTGTCCTTTGCTGCTGTATTTTCTGCTTGTTCATCATTTTTGTTCTCAGCTGAACATAAGAGCATTCGTGCTTGGAAATCTGTAGCAATGACTGAATGGTCTCCGTTTCTGAAATATAACAAAGTTTTCAAAATTATGCTAAAACATCAAGGTACAGTGAGTATCATCACTCAGCTTCTAGTCCTATAATCTTTACCCAACTCCCCAACTTAAGGTTTTATTAGGACAAGTAAACATTTGCCATTTTAAGATTTAGCTAATTTGTTATCATTATGAGGACTTGTGGCCTAAATATACTATTCACGCTTTGCTATGAATTAAATCATTGATTCAACAGAAAACTATAATTTGGGATCAAATTTGGTTTAAATATCTAAGCTTATTGTAAGCATGGATCCTAGGTTTCAGTATGTCATTTCATCTTGTGGATCCCATACCCGCTATTGACAGGTGTTGTTTGTTTGTAAATGACTCGTTCCATGATTTGCAAAATGGTTGATTGGTGCCATTAAAACCATTTCTATGGTTACTCATGTATCAAGTGCATAAGGTTAGACTAAAGTAGCTGTTTGCCTAAAGAAGGGTTACTATATTATTATTTATCCAGTTTTAAATGTATACAATTTCAAATTATAAATCTATATGTAAGTATAGTTGGGAATTTTTGTGATCCTTAGCAAAGTGTGAGTAGTATATGTTAGTTTCTAATCAATGCAATATACAATATAACAATCTATAGTCATTAAATTAAGTTTGCTTTAACGTAGAATAGAAATAGTTCTATAAAGATGGAGCCTTGAGTATTCAGAAAACTGTAATCTCGTAACATGGCTGAAAATTGAATGGGAGTGACTGCCACTGTCTATGAGTGAAATGAGGGTCAGCACTAGTAGTGAGTGAGTTTAGTTTTTAGCTATGACAAGCGAACGCTTCATTAAGCAGATACAGACTGAATACCACAGAGAAAGGGAAAGGTGGGAGGATGTCCAGATAGATACTGGTTAACTTAATTGCTTAGTGTTTATCAAACAAGTGAAATAATGATGAAACAAAACATTGACGATATTAATATGCAGCAACATACACATGTTTTGGTATATACTCAGAGAAATTATTACGGCAATGATAAAATAATCAAAGCAACAAGAAAGTAATTGAACAAAAGAGACATTTTAATTAAAACAACATTTTGATTGACAAAAACGGCAGCATTAGTTTTTTGTATAACAAAGGTCCGAACTGAAAATACGTCAAAAAAAGGAACATATCTGATTCGCTTAACTTCTAAACCAAACTTCATAAAATTCTGCATACAATTGGCTCACAGAAATTTCTCCAAATCTCCTACATGTCATGCACGATGCAATTGGAACCAGTTGATGACATATGTCAGCAGTATGTCAGCCAAGTTCTAGCAGTGCTAAAGGCTAAGGGTTAGTTATCTAGTTAGAAAAAAGACATGGTATGTTTTCAGATTTAAGAGTTTTGTTGTGTATTTGATAAACAGAAATTACATTTAGAGCACATAAGTTCAGCTTGAGGTTTGAAATGTAAACAATTTTGGCATTGACTTCTCAATGAAACCCACAAATCTAGAAACATACAGTATGTACCGACACTATAGAATACAAACATGATCTGTCATTTTTGTAATTTTTATCTATCTAGGTGACACATATCATTTGAAGTGTTGAATCATAACTGACATCAGTCAATACAGACTGCAAGGAAGAAATCTTAACCCTTTAGTATGTATGATTTAATACTACAGCTCAGTGCACAGTACTACAGCTCAGTGCACAGTGGGACAACCAAACCCAACTTACCCATATGATATACCTAGATTACAAACTGATTAGTGAAACAGCCTCTTTAGGGATACACAGTTTGATTACATTCGACTGTAGTCAAGTGAACTACAGAGAGTTTGGTATATACACTATATATGATGCGTAACCCAATGGTGTACTGATAATACATATGATGTGTTGCCCACAGGTCTACTGATTGTATGATGTGTTGCCCACAGGTCTACTGGTTGTATGATGTGTTGCCCTAAGGTCTACTGGTAATATAAATGATGTGTTGACCACAGGTCTACTGGTGATATATAAGATGTGTTGCCCTAAGGTCTACTGGTGATATATAAGATGCGTTGCCCTTAGGTCTACTAGGGACATATAAGATGTGTTGACCACAGGTCTACTGATTGTATGATGTCTTGCCCTAATGTCTTCTGGTGATATATATCATGTGTTGCCTAAGGTCTGCTGGTAATATATATGATGTGTTGCCCTCAGGTCTATGGGTGATATATAAGATATATTGTCCTAAGGTCTACTGGTGATATATAAGATGCGTTGCCCACAGGTCTACTGGGGACATAT